CAATTGGCAGTTTGCAGTAACTAACAATCGTTTGACATTTGTCTCATTTCATATTGTTTTCTTGTCATTTTGCCGGAGCTGGGAAAACGTAACTCGGGCTCCGGCATACAAAATTCTGCTCCGGCTCCGGCGTCGGAAAAACCGCCGGAGCTCCGGCAGAACTCCGGCTCCGGCAACTCCAGCGCACAGCACTGTTGGGAGCTGCTGTTGAAGTGTGTCTTGCATTGTTTAATTAAGACTAAGTCAATTCCCTTAAACAGTTCTTACAAATCCTTCAAACTTAGAATTTACCAATGCAAAATTCCTACTGTGATCACAGAAACTTTGATAGTGTCAACCAGCCTTACAGTCAAACCGGATGTTCTGTTCCCCTGAATATTGCAATATTGTTGGGAATATTGCAATTTTTATTGCGAGGTTGCTCTGAACAAGTTGCAACTGACGTGATCAAATTGCAAGTAGAAATTCACAACCAGATTTGACATTTGTAAACAATGTCTCTGATTGGCTACTAGTAGCAAAGAAGAACCAATCCATTTGCTCAGAGTATTTGATTGGTTCTTCTTTGCTACTAGTAACCAATTAGAGACTTTGTTTACAAATCTGGTTGTGAATTTCAACTTGCAATTTTATCACGTCGGTTGCAACTTGCTCAGAGAAATCTCGCAATCAAAATTGCAATATTCCCAACGATATTGCAATATTCAGGGGAACAGAACATCCGGTTTGACTGTAAATGTAATTTGCTCTGATTTGCCAGCGTTTTTTTTCTGCAGGAATTTGCAGACCAGCTAGCCGTACCATTCCTCGAGACTAGCGCAAAAAACGCTACAAATGTCGAACAAGCTTTCATGACGATGGCAGCAGAAATAAAGAACAGAATGGGCCCGCCTGCAGCGTCGGTAACAGGTCAGAACAGTAACGTGAAAATAACAAGTACGCCAGTGAAACAGGGCGGTGGTGGGTGTTGCTGAGATATGAACGATGATTTAGAGACAAAAAATAATATGACAAATAACCCTAATTGAACGCTGACGAAACGTAGTATAATACCACCATCCTCCTCATAACAGCCCCTGCCTTGATGCTGTTGGGATTCTAGTACAAACAAAAGCCACAGATCGAAGGAGCACTCCTTACAACACTACGCATGCGTCACGACTACAACGTAATTTGAGACTTTAATTTGTTTGTAGGATATATCTTTGTAATAGTTGGTTTGTTTCTTATTATATTATTATTATTATAATGGCGATTAAGTAGGGGCTAGGGTAATTGTATTGGAATCTAGAATATGTGTCCGCTGAAAAAGGTTTCCGCCAATGGAAGTAAATGTATTTGAAAAGAAATACCACACGTATCGATCTCTAAGCCGGTGTCCCAGGAAATTCCCCCCCCCACAAATTTCCTAGGAAATATGGCCTCCCCTTCGGAAATTTGGCCCCCTCGAAAACATAGTTTACTTTATCGCTATAAGCTCGGAAATCGTGAAGCTTCTTCTAAAACCAAGATCCTAAAAGTGTTTGTCAGTATTTATAGTTAGTTTGCATAATTTATTTGTGTCGAAATTCTTCATTGCGGGCAAGAGCTAAAAGTTTGAAGGAAAGCGTAATAATAATAATGTGCTCTAGTGCAGTCATGCCAGACACATCACACATGCATGGGTATCTGTTGAGGACAACGTTAATGCATGATGGCTTAGCTTTAAGCTAAGAACACGAAACGATTTTTAGAGATAGGAATTTCTAAGATATTACAAGTTATTTAGATCTATAAATTCAGTCACATAGTATAAAATTAGTCAGAATAACAACTGCACTTTAGCAAACGATGACATCATGCGTTGGCGAATATGTTAATATGCACGCGTCTAATAAATAACGGAGTAATTAGCGGTAAAAGTAGACGTTTGTTCGAAAAACAAAATCAAATGAGTGGTTACTTCGTAAAAAAACCTTTTCCTATGCATTTTACTTACATATACACAGTATATATAATCGCTCATATGGTTGGGATGCATTACAGAAGCATTCCGTAAAAACGAAAGTAGACTGCATGCTTCATGGCTCACAAAAACATTCCGCACACACAAAAGCACAACGGTTTGAATGACGTTCCGTTTCCATAGCTTAATGATACAGCCATTATTTATTAACGTTGTCTTCTACAAAGCTGGTCAAAACCAAACGCGAAAAGTACGCTAAACTTTAGCTCTTGGCCTAATTCTCGTCAGTATTGCAATTCAATGGAAAATTTTGACACAAAAAAATTACGCAAACTAACTATAAATGTTGAGACTTGAGAAAAATTTCTAGAAATTTGTTTTAGTAGAAGCCTCACGATTTCTGAGCCTAAAGATAAAACAAACTATAATTTTTTAAGGGGGGCCAAATTTCCGAAGAGGGGGGCATATTTCCTAGGAAATATGGCCCGGGGGGCCAAATTTTCGGGGGGGGGGGGAATTTCCTGTAACACCGGGTTCACACTAGCAATTTTGTCGGCGACTTTGTGTTTCTGACGGATGCAAATGAGCGAACTCGCACACAAAAGTATAGAGTCGCTTTTCAGAAATAAACAATTCGAATCTTTTGCATGTCATTCATTCAATCACATTCGCCAGGAGGAGAAAAATCGCCGACAGAATTGCTAGTGTGAACCAGGCTTTAGAAACTGACAATGATATTGAAACCCTATAAGTTATCGAATCCGTCAAAATTATTTTAACAACACCTGATCTATCACTCGACTGTCCCTCCTCACACCAAACATCGAGTTTAAAGTTTCGCGTATACACCGAAACATATTCTCGTATTGTTGCAGAAATCTTTCTTTTCTTGCTATTGTTTCCCGTAGGGGAACAAACCAGGGATAATTTGGCTGTTGAGTTTTTCATCTGAATAAATTGGTTGATTATAACAAATAATGACTGTCTATGGCAATTGCCATAGATTGTTTTCTCCTTTATTTGATGGAAAACAGTTTTGCTTGCCAGAGAGGAAATTTTTCGAGGGTGGATAAACAGGAAAACATTGATATTTAATCTTCAGTTGTTGATTCTATTTAACTACTGTATATTCGCCTCTTCGGATTTTCGCTCACTTTTTCCTTGTTGGTAAATTTTCTTAGCCTTAGGCTCCGTTGTTCGCTATTTTTTCAACTTTTGCCAGTAGTGCTATATTTTGTATAATGAAGCTCGCAATTTAGTTAGTCGTGTATTTTTTCGTAGTTTTGTGTTTTCGTAACTTTATTTGTAATATTTTTGGGGCAAGGCGGATGTTCTATTCATTACGTACTACAACAGTGATTATTATTATTAAAGTGAACATCTAAAATCTTGTTCTTCCTTATTAGATTTTTGCTTTTGTTGATCTGAGCTTAGTATATTAAATACGAATAAGAATTATATTTTTATTCGCTCTGTCGTGAATCTAAGGGCCTGTTCATAATATGGAGACGAGCTGCCCCGGTTATTAAACTGAGATGATTCGTGCAACCAAAATGACATTTCAAAGTTGAATTAGTTCAGTTCCAGTAGAGTATAATAATAAATAATAAACACTTTATTTAAACTGTTAAAAATCCCATCAGCAATACCGCTGGTATTAACGGGAGAACAGTGATTACAGTTATCAACGTTTATATATACAATATAAACATGCATCCTATACACTACAAATATGAGACTTATTGTCAAGTTCTAAAAGATGCGTATATAAACAGTACATTTAAAATTTGAGAAGGGTATTATTTCTCTAATAGTTAAAGGTAAAGAGTTCCAGTCTTTTGCACCAGCAAACTTGGATGTTGATTGACCTATTGCACTGTTCACCTTCGGAAAATCAAGCAGCGTCTTATCCCTCAGGTCTCTGTTGTGCATGCAACGTCTGAATTTGAAATCTTGTTCTTTAGTGAACATTGAAGCAAAGTAACGATTGAATATATTATAGCGATGGTTTCTAGTTGACCAGGATACAGCTTGCTGGAACTGCTAGTTTTAGATTTTAATTTAAACAGATTCCAAAAATGTTTCGGGCTTAAGTACAAACTGTTCTCCAGACTGCTCAAGTACCGTTCACGACTTTCTCGTAAAAGTTGTTCACCTTTAGCTCGGCGACGTTTCTTGAATTTTTCCCGCAAATAGAATGTGAGAGAACGAGCAAGTTTGCGTCGGACAGTCTCTTTTTTCTTCAACAAATGCTGGATTTCCCTGTTAGCAAACTCATGAACAATCGATTTTCTAGCTGAGCATAATTTTTAACAAATCTCTGAAGAATAGTGTCTTAGTTCACTCTAATTTGACGTGGCCTTTCCTTTTGATTACTACAGCACTTGACTCTAAATCGTTTGTCAATAGTCAAGTATATTAGCGGCGTAGATGCAGCGCTGGCGTGTGCTCCGACGAAACAAGCAAAATAAACACAAGAATGGAATGAAATTGCATTAGCTGCTATCAATGCCGCTGAAATACCAAATGGAATCCAACATATATAATAACAGAAAACCATTATGTATGCTTGTTTATTAAAGCTTACTACCTTTACTTTTGACATGTTATGTAATGCTTGTTGTGTTTGTTCACGATGCTGTTTCAATTTAGAAGCAACTCCAGTGAGGGATATTCTGATGATTCTAGCACACACTGTAATCCAAATAGTGACTAGCACTATCAAAGAAAAGAAAGATGCAGTTTCTTCGAAAGTAGGGGTTTGGTCTATATTCGTCAGTTTACAAATGCGGCCAATGCTTTGTTTGTCCGCGATAAAAAACCCTGACATGCAAGCAGGTACAAGTACCAGTGATAGAATCCAACTGGCCGCCGTGACTTTTAGGGACAATGAAAAACTGAACAGTCGATTTGCTGGAAATTTGACGATATTTTCATACAGAATGTAGCATAAAGCAGCCATCGACGTGAGATTGTTGAAAAGAGAAATAAAACTGAGCTGAGTATAAAAAACACAGAACAATTGAGCAGATGGAATAATATTCCCTCTTGCCAGTATTTCTCCAAGCAAGCTGCCAAACAAAGAAAAAAGATTTGCAACTGTTATATTCAACAAATGCAGTTTGTCACACCTTCTGCCAGATGCCAATTTTTTCAAGACAAGATAAAGTAAGACAAAATTAGCGATTAGTCCGATAAAGAAGATATTCGAAGCAACAACGGCTATAACAGTGGTTGCATAACATTCGTAAAGATTTGTTCCATTCCTGTAGGTCATGTTCTGTGCGTTCGCCATTATTCATGCAGGCACTTCTACATGCAGTTCTAAAATTTATAAAGCTTTCATCAGCTTTTTATATCAACTGAAAACGAAAATATCATAAATATTAATATTATAAAAGTATATTTTATAGATACTGTCAATAACTGAGATTTGGCACTTAAAATGTGACAGCTGCCTTTAATTTTTAAATTACCTTTGACTTTAAGGAAGGTTGTCTTTTAAGTCTACCGCTAATCTGGCATCTTTAAAAGCCTCAGGTTCAGCTAATTAGTGCATTTGCGATTACGCCTATGCGATTACGCCTGTGATTACGTTTTGAAACTGCATGTAAAACTATAGTGTATAATCACTACCTATATCTTCAGGTTATGTAATTCCTTTACTTCACTTTAGTTATCATACATATTAATATTGTTAAAGTATATTTTATAGTTACTGTCAATAAGATTTCGCACAGGAAGGTTGTCTTTTAAGTCTACCGCTAATCTGGCAGGTTCAGTTAAGTAGTGCATCTGCGATTACGCCTATACAGCTACGCCTACGGCGTGAGAAACCTTTATTGAAGATGTAAACTAGTATAAGTGTCTTCAGGATGTGTAATTGCTTCACTTTATTAATATACAATAAATTATATAGTTTCCAGCACAAAAATAAAGGTATATAATACTGAGGAAAATCTCAAACAGGAAAGAATTCCCGTAACACAAAGTTTATACCTTAGTTAATAATTAACAGTAAAGCAAGTAAAATCATCAATATTAAAAATGAGAAAATCTTAGAGGCACCTGCCAGTAAACGAGTCTTAAAAAAGTGCATGTAGTTTAAATTTATTAATTGAATCAACTATGTCAGAGCTCAGGTCAAGTTCTTCCACATATTATCACAACACAGCAAATGCCAAAAATAAGAAAATTTTAGGGCATTACAAATTTAGTTTTAGTGTACTTTAGCTTACAAGAGCATTCAGACTGTCTGAGGTTGTTTGAGTAAAGCGGGGTCAATAATCGGTTTATTATATGGCTGAACTGAGTCTGTGAGCATATGTTTTCGCGCGAATTAAATCGGCTATCGTCAGTTTCACTGGGTAACAATATACGGTGGGCATGCATGCTCAATCAAAATCAATTTTGTTTTACAGGTAAAGCACAATTGGAAAATTAAAAAGCAAATTTTTTTTCTGTTTGCAAAGCAAAAATTTCCCGCCAGATAAACGACATCCAGGACACCGGTCCAGATAAGGAAAATACGGACCACAGTCCGGATATGGGTTTTTACGGACCGCTTGTCAACCAATCAGAACCGTAGATATCTTATATACACTAGATAGTGCATCTAATTATTCTTCAATTCAAAAATTGAAGCCGTGATTGCAGACTCGGGATATTCCCATGATATGAGAAGACTCGTATGTTTTCTACTTCTTAAACAGGGAACTTAAACATTAAGTTAAACATATTCCAAATACATTTTCAAACTATTCAAATGATGAAAGTTATTGTTGTTTTTTAAGCGTTTATTAGTGAGTGGGAAACTTCAACATGGCCGCCATCTTTTCAAATGGGGGTAACCGCCGGAATATTCTTGGCTTCAATTTTACTAAAAGTAAAAGAGATGCGCTATCTAGTGTATATAAGATATCTATGATCAGAATAGAGATGCTTTTCTTTGTTTGGCAGCTTGCTTGGAGAAATACTGGCGAGAGGGAATATTATTCCATCCGCTCAAATATACTGTCTCTTTTATACTCAGCTCAGTTTTATTTCTCTTTTCAACAATCTCACGTCAATGGCTGCTTTATGTTATATTCTGTATGAAACTATATCGTCAAATTTCCAGCAAATCGACTGTTCAGTTTTTTATTGTCCCTAAAAATCACTGCAGCCAGTTGGATTATATCACTGGTACTCGTACCTGCTGGTATATCAGGTTTTTTTATCGCGGACAAAGAAGGCGTTGGCCGCATTTGTAAACTGACGAATATAGACCAAACCGGCAAACCCCTACTATTGTAGAAACTGCATCTTTCTTTTCTTTGATAGTGCTAGTCACTATTTGGATTACAGTGTGTGCTAGAATCAGCAGAAAATCCCTTACTGGAGTTGCTTCTAAATTGAAACAGCATCGTGAACAAACACAAGAATTACGTATACATAACAGCTCAGTATAGTAAAGGTAGTGAGCTTTAATAAACAAGCATACGTAATGAGTTTCTGTTATTGTATATGTTGGATTCCATTTGGTATTTCAGCGGCATTGACAACAGCTAATGTGATTTCATTCCATTCCTGTGTTTATTTTGCTTGTCTCGTCGGAGCACACGCCAGCGCCTGCATCTACGCCGCTAATATACTTGACTATTGACAAACGATTTAGAGTCAAGTGCTGTAGTATTCAAAAGGCAAGGCCACGTCAAATCAATGACAATGTGAACTCAAGAAGACACTATTCTTCAGAGATTTTTAAAAATTATGCTCAGCCAGAAAGCCGATTGTTAATTCATGAGTATTAAGCTTGGAAGAAATGTCTCATGCCATATTAAGTGCAGATTATATATACTTCGGTCTTCGTCTTATTTATATCTGGACTTATAGACCTCGCGCTATAGACCTGGAAAACGGATGAAGAAGAAAGTAATACCGCTGATGTACTTTACATGCCAGCAACACCACAGTAGACAGTAAAAAACGCCTAGTCTGTAACAATCTTGATGAAAACAGGCCTGAACAATATTTTGCTGCCCATATTGTTCCTGGTTGTTAACATTAATATTGTTCAGGCTGAACAATGCTAAACAATATTGTTAACAACCAGGCACAATATGGGCAGCAAAATATTGTTCAGGCCTGTTTTCAACAACATTGTCACAGACTAGGCGTTTTTTGCAGTGTAGGTTTGTCGTGGTCACACCAAATATGGCTGCCATTGGCTTCTGTATATGCATGGCAGGTGCACTATCCAGTCCTAGTGCACTATCCCGGCCAGTCCTGAGACCACTGAGAATCACGTTGTTGCTGTTGTTGCTGTTACTATCGCATCTTGGTTCTCAGCCGGCTGAGTCTCAGGGCTTCTCGGCTGACTGCAAGGTCTTAAGAACGAGGATGTTGCTGTCTTAGCTTCGGTGATGGTATCAATTGTTGTCACTTAACTTCCTTGTCAAACAAACCTTTAATTTTGCACGCCACGTATCTCGAAACACAACAGGGTTTCATCATTTAGCAAATCACGCATGCATACATAACTGCATTGTATATATATTAAAACGTTATACTCAGTTTTCAAAACAAGGTACTCCGAAGAGGCAACTTGGTTAAATAAACTTGTCAATCACTTGATATTTCACAATGTTGGAAGAAATAATCGCTTGTTTCTTGTCATTGTTTTCTGCATTAACTTTGGACGCGCCACAACTTTCTCGAGAAAAGAACGCTAGTAGAAGTTCATCGGAGCAACGTACACGCTATACATGCGGAGATAAAATTCACAAAGAGTGTGTCTCCGCCCTTGAAGAAGAGAATCTACCATCAGAAACAGAAGAGTATGAACTGCAAAACAAGCCTACTTATACCCAATCATTACTCAGAAGTTTGAAAGCGAACTTTACTATAACCTTAGCTGTACTGCCTTTGGTACTTATCGGGATGGCTCTTATATATTTTGATTTAAGAACAACCGTCAACCGATTTATGTTCTGAATGGGAGGCTAAAAACTACACACTTTCATTTGATATCAAAAGAATGAGATTAATCGGCAAAGGAGTTGAGAACATGATATTGTATCTCTCGTTTCCCTTCAAATTGATTCTTCTTTTTGGGTGGAGTGAATTTAAGCGTCATTATTTCTCAACTATCCTAGTAGGCCAACTGGCTGGTTTACTTAATACATTATATTTAAGTTTTTTACTCCTATATGGTATTTATGTTACCAGCAGTCCGTTCAATAGTGGCTACGTTCCAGTAATTTTAACATTTGTTGTCGCTAGTCTCTGGGAATCTGCAATTGTTGTGCGCAATATTCGAGAAAATCATCCAACTATATCCTACTCAGCTCGCCATATTTTCACGGTTGTTGCAGTGCCGTTATTGAGCACCTTGGCATTGGCAATCTTTTACAGGTGTGATGTTGTTATGTGGTTTAATTCGCTCGATAATGTGTGGTATAGATTCATGATGGCTATCTTGACACCGACCTTAGCACTGGTACCGACTGCTATATGTAGGCATATTGCATTATCGCGTACTTCAGAGACTATCGAACCAGGACGAAGCTTTGTTTTGGTTTATTTCATACGGGCAATATTCATTACTTTGTATCGTATCATGCAAGCAGATTTTAAGAATATGTGGCTGTTTGTCGGAGTCTCTTCTATCTGGTGTCTCGAGTTTACTTAAAACAGCGACTGTTGGTGTTCGTGAGAAAGTATGGGCACGAGTTATCAGGTTTCTGAACAGAACATGCTGTGCAAGACTGCGCCATTTGCCTGGAAACACACTACATCATAGGCGGCTGAAAGCAGACATCGAGATACAAAATATAATTTTTGAGAACTATTCACTGATTATAAGCCAATCCTACATCGTGTTATACAGCGTTACAAATTTTCAGCTCTCTGATTGGTCTGTCGTCAAGTCATCTTTAACGAGAATTGCTATTGGATTAGTGATTGAGTTCGTTTTTAAGGTGGCTCCCTACAGTTATTCTTGTTTACCCAATAATTCCGTAAAACAGGCTTATTTGTGCAGAACACGAATTCTTTTCGACTTGGTGACAATATTGGTCACCTAAGGGATATTTCTAACTAGATTTCGACAACGTCAGTGTTACCATGGCAACATGACGACAGCACAAAACC